TGCCGCATGTCGCGCGCATTTATTGACACGTCAACCGGCTATTCAGTTAGCTATTTTGAGCGCGGTAATTTTCATATTTGTCAGTCAATTGTCAACTTAACGTGTACGCACTAGCAGCAGCAGCAACAACTACAACAACAACAGTTAACTACTAGCGGCATTAAATTGCACACGCTCTAGCCCGAAGCGACAGACGCAAACGCAATTATTGCAGCGAGTGTGTTGCTGCATGCCAAGTGGAGCGAGAAATGTTTGACATGTTGCGGCAACATGTTGACAAGGTCAACAAAATGTCGTGTATCTATGTATCAGGCAGCAATATTCAATTGCACTTTTGCTAAACAGTTATGCGCCTGCACGAGTGCATAAATCAAGCGAACGTCGCTTGTCAATTGCGAATTCCGCCAATTAAATTAAGCGGCGAGCAAAAGATTGTCTGTCGCTTGCGTTGCAATCTTTTGTAACTTGCAATATTTTTATTTATTTATTTTTGGTTGTTGTTATTTTTGTCGCAGTAGCTCAATGTCATTAGGCTGCTGCGTCTCTTAATGCTGATGAAGCTATTTATGCTGCACTCCGTCCGCTGGCTAGTTGGTGTCGTAATTATTTTTGTTGTTTTTCTTTTTTACTTAAGTGCTTTTTTCGCTGTTAGCACCAGTTGACATTGCAAACTGGTAAATTGATCAATTATAATGCGTTTAGCTGTGAGTTGTTCTTTTTTTTCATGCGGCTTTCTGCTAGTTACTTCCTACTTTGCAGCGCATGCGTAGTGGTTTCTACAGTATGAGTCCTATCACTGGGGTCGTTGAATCGAATCCCACTGAAAGAAGGTGAATGTGGCGATTTCCGAAATGTTGCCTTTCCACAATAGTCGTCCTGTCTTTTCTCCTTGGGGTTTCTCGTTAGGGAGCAAGGAGCCTTCTGCATGGCTAGCACTTCTGCTTGGTATACACTGCAGTGACCAGGAAGCCGAAAAGATGTTTCTATCTCCAGCTCTGGAGAGAAGACTCCTCCCACAACCTCTCTATCGAGCTTGAAGCCACCAGTATACATTTTTAAAGCACAGTTTTAGCCGAGTACACCTAAAGACCCCATTTTTTGGTTCAAATTACTAGTGAAGCAAGAGCGGTTTCCATGGATTTTGGTTCCGCTGCTTAACTTGTTGTACAAGTATTTTCAATGGCGGCTGGATTTACTTTCATTGGTGCCTAATTTCCGCTTTTGTTTTGCTGTGCCTACAATCGTCTGATCTTTTGCTACCACAACCAAAATGATCGATTCCCTAGTCCGGTAGTCTTGACGACAATCGCTGTTACCTCGAACTTGGTGTGTTCTGAGGGATGTTCGCTGGATCACAGTTTAAAATGATTCCACAGTTTAAAGGAGATGTTTAAGGGTATGTAACTTAATCCATCTGAACTCTATAATGATACCTTAATCTAGGTTCGGCTCTAATTTGTCAACCCAATCAAAGAAA